TGCAGAGTTCTAATAAGCAGAGGCAGAGCAGAGAATTCTAGAATTGCATTGGCTCCTTCTGAACTCTCGGCCAAGGCTGCGATTACTGCGAGCGAATCGGAAATTAGCTCGCCATTGTCGGAGGAGGCGATTATATCAATTAGCACCGGGATTATGCCGGAATTTATGACCCTTCTGTTGTTCTTCGGGTAGAGTAAGAGCCCGAAAATGGCGACCACTGCGTTCTTTTTCCCACAAATTGTCCCCTCTTTGATGAGCTCGACGAGTCCTGTAATCGACTCCGTGTTTTCTCCGATCAATTTCCGGTATTCCTTGACTGACGACAGGTAAAACAATGTGGCGGCTGCTAATTGACGAGCTTCCAAACAAAACCCAGACTTCAGAACAGAGAGAATTGGATCTAATCCCCCACTTTCCACGACCAAAATCTTCCCGGTGGAATGCTTCGAAAGCTTCAAAATAGCAGCAATGGCGTTTTCCTGTGTGGGTTTGTCCGTAGAGGAGAGAAGATTTAGTAATGGCGGAATTGTCCCTGCTTTTATCAAACAAGACCGATTGAAGATGTTGGATTTCGCCAGCAGACGAATCTCATACGCCGCCTTATTTTTCTCCGCACTCGTTCCGAAAACCAACCGCCGGAGAAGAAACTCCGCCGCGAATTTCATGGCTTCCGCGGCGGCCGGACTGCCGGGAATTATAGTTCGCGTTATATCATGGCTTCTACCGCTGAATTTCGCAAGAGAAATCCCATTATCAGCACAAAATTGATTAATTAGCTTCCTAAGACTCGAATTCGGAACCAGCTCTGGACTCGTCAGCCGCTCCCCTGTTTTGGGGCAGATCAAATTCCCGGCGGCGAGCCATTTCTGAATCGAAGCTCGATCGTAAGTCTGGCCAGTGGATACAGTAACAGGATCAGTCATTAGCTCCAGAGAAATCGGGCATCGAAAATCTTCTGGGTTTAAGCAACTAACAGTCTCTGGATTGCACCGGAGCTCCGCCTGATTCCGGTCACAAAAATCCAGAGCTTCGAACAGAGCCACTCTGCTATAACTCATGAAACCCACCAAACTGCTCAAAATCTGAATATCTCTCTCTTTCAAATCGGAATACTGAAAATTAATCTCCTCCTCCAGGAATTTAATCTCTTCATTGCAATCACTCCACCTCCGAATCTCGAGGTAATTAAGAACCCTTTTAATGGCGGTCAAATCCGGCTCAATCCCCTTTTCGAACTGCTGCAAAATTGCTTGAAGACGCTTCATCGTGCGTTCGTCGTCTTTATCGAGTCCAAATTTCGCAGTTCTCGCTTGCTTAACGATCAATTCAACCAATTCCTTCACTTCATCACTCGCATCAATCTGATTCAACGGCAAAACGTCAAGAGCCGTGGCGAGCGCCCGAATTAGAACCCAAAATTGAGTGGCGACGAATTGGGACTTCATTAACATCCAAAGCTTGGCATTAGAACGCGAGCAATCTTCGAAGAGGAAGAGGATTTTCTGGAAGTTGAGGTGAATCTCGGAAAAACAGAGAACCGCCGAATCTGGAAGAGCGGACGACACGTCGCGAAGCTCCTCGAAGAATATCTGGAGGATGCCGATTTGTCGGATTGCTTCGCGGCCGTTTCTTCGTTGGGTTGCGAAGAATTTGGTTTGGTAATTGCATATGTGGCGGCAGAGATGGATCAAGGAAGTGAGAAGAGTCGCCGGAGAAATCGCCTCGCACGGGTGAACCGCCGGAAACGTGAGAATCCGACGATCGGAGCGGTCGGAATTATGAAACATGGAATCCAAATCGAATTCTAGATCTGTTTTCTTCTTTTCCTTTCGGGAAAGGCAAGTTCCGAATTTAAGAAACGGGGGTTGGATTTGCCGCGAAACTATGTCCACGTGGAGCGTTCTCGTTGGGCATGCGTGGCTTCGTGGATTTTGCTCAGCTCCGGGTTCGGGTCGGGTTTTTAGTCCCGATAACTTGAAGCAAGATCCGGCGGGCTCCACGAACCGACCTAGAAACGTGGACCAATGGGGTGGCGACATGTTACTTGCGGCAAAGGTATTGTCAGCTTGGTCTAAGCAACGTCAGACCCGACTCGTGGCTGGACGCGTGTTTATCCCAAGTCAAATTTGAATCTTATCTAATTACCAAAATTTTTAAAAACACTAAAATTTTAATAAAATAATCAAGGTTAAGATATATTAATATAATTTGTATGTTGATTAATATAATATTGGTTTATATCTCCTCTGTTTTCGTTCCTGAATTTTTAAAATATCTATCTGATCTTCACTTTTATTTTGATTATAATTTGATTATAACATATTTTGAACGTATATATGTATTTTGAGAGTTGTTTAATAAGTGAAAAATAATTTAATAATTTAGTGAAACCAAAATAAGATTCAAACATATACTATTTTGTTTTTTTTTGTTCCGACTTATTTAGTTAAATATTTAAAAATACAAATTCACATTTAAAAACCATTTCAGTACAAAACTAATTAATGAAAGTAACAAGGAGAATGGCACGAGACTCTTGCTAAATAGAAGCAAATATTGATTTGTATGCTCGTGAGGAGTGTCGATTACTCAAAGTTAAACAGTGTCTTAGTTTGTAATATTAATTCCAAAACAAAATAACAATTGTTTTATTTTATTTTTTAAATAAAAAAAGGGGTGGCGTTTGGATTTCCAACAATTTAAGCTGTCGGTAGGTAATGGGTTAGGAAATATTTATTCCCAAGTCTCTGTGAGTGCCTAATTATTTAATCAGAAGCATATGTTAAAAGCTTTTAATTAAGCAAAGGTTGCATTCAGTTAATTAATTCATAATTGATAGGTTTGTGAATTTGTCTAAGGACAGCTAGCAGTCTCATTACATTAATTTAATTACCATTGTATGCTTGGGCATTTGGTCCAATACACACTAATTTGAAAAGAAAAAAAAAAGAAAGAAAAGAAAAAATATATATTTGAAGAAAAAGAAAAAAGAGGCTCGTTTTGAAAGGAAAATTCAATGGAGTTCAATTTTATAATAAGATATTTTTGGTGGTACGTGCGTCGTATGGTAATGATACCGTGTGGCTTCATGGGCATGGGCATGGGGCTATCGTTGTCAAGAAAGAAAATAAAAACACAAAATTAATAATAATTATAATAATAATAATAATAATGCTGAATTTTGGTTGCATTGATTTGATTTAGACTGATGTTGGTGAGGGAGAAAGCAACAGATTTGTATTTGAATTGGAGCAATCAATAGCATTTTGACACTTCAAACGCGCTTGATTATTTCATTCCACACCATAACAAACTTAATTCTTTTTCATGTCAAAAAGAGAAAAATAAATAATAAATAATAAGATGTGTAGTTTTTTTTAAGAAAAAAGAAAAGGAAAAAGAGAACAACAACCTAGTAGAGTTATCAATTACTATTGAACATGGTTACTCAAAATAAATTAAAAAAATAACTATCGAACTACGCTTGTTTAGGCATATAATTTAGACTAGTTAATTCTATGAGAATGTGCAAACGATATATAATTGTGTAATAAGGAAGATGTCAGTAATTTGGTACTTGGTAAGAATAATGGAAATTTTTTTTAGTAGTATCATTCACAATTTGATAGGACCCTACACCAAACCATTGAAAATAATACTTCATGCATTCAACCAATAAAATTGATTAAAATTGAGTATTATGAAAAATTTTCCATTAAAACAAAAAGAAAGACTCTTTTTGCCATTTTCTCACCTCATCTATGGGATTTTTTTGGTTCTCTAGGGGTGAATAATCAAACCAGGCATTACATTGAAATTGCTAGGGAGGACTTAGTTTATCCAGGGTTTGCATCCCCTCTCTTTCCATACTAATTAAACAATGTATATATTTCTGGAACTTCAATAAAGCAAGTCACATTTTAAATTAACCAAAAGGTTCGGTCTCAGTATTAACTGACTCATATGATGTGTCATGATCAATCTGAATATAATTCAACTGGTTTAGGCATCTATCCTCAATTAGAAGCTATGTGAGTTCGAATTCCAATCTCATTTGTTGTACTTAAAAAAAAGAAACTCATATCTCGAAATGATAAGAATGATGATACTCAAAATGCCTTTCTAATGAATGTATAATAGATATGAGTGAGTTGAACTAACAGAAGAGTCTCTTGCCATTTTCTATTCTACCAATCACACCCAACACCAAAAACTTAGTGTAAAAAGAGAAAAGCTCAACAAAACAAAGTTCATTTCACATTGAACAAAAAACCAAACAAAATTGAATGTCTAAGATTCCCTCAAAAACCCTCTCTCCATTCTTTCTTTGTGAAGTGGCAGCATAGAGAGATGGATTGCAGAGCACCACTCCCATTTCATGCATCGACTGTTACGTTACTCTTTTTAACTTCTCTCTTTTTCTTCCTATCAAAAATATTATTCAAACACACACTTCCAAACTACTATATATATGTAATGCCCCAGACTCACTTATCCAATACACCACATTACACAAAATGGCCTTCCAAACTGGCCTCTCTTCTTCTTTTCTTGAATCTCATCTCCATGTTACACCAGTTAACGTTGTTTCTCAAAATGTCACTCAAAATGGAAATGGTATTCAAAATAGCGCTTCTCTTTCTCCCGTGTTTCCCGGCTACTATGCTGATCTTGCTCCAAGCTGGCCCGGTATTTTCTCCACTCCCACATGTTGCAATTTCAGACTTTTACTAAATGAGATTCTTACATTTTAGGTTACCATATTAATAACCAAACAATAAAGGACCTTAATCAAAGTATAAGCATAAAATATATCATTAATGTTGTATTTCCTATTTCTGATAATCAATTTGTATCCACTCTTTCATGACCTTATTAAATAGAGGAGGCACATGTGTATAAGATAGAGAAGATCATATTCCAAGAGAAATCGCAGTATCAAGATCTTTTTGTTTTTCAGGTATTTTATTTATTTTATAGTTTCCTTAACTGAATATTATATTATATTATATTATATTATACTAAGTGATTTTTTTATATATATATAATAATTGAATGCAGACAGCAACACATGGGAAGGTTGTGATCTTGGATGGGTCTCTTCAACTCACAGAGAAAGATGAGTTTGCTTATCAAGAAATGCTCACTCACCTCCCACTCTGTTCTATTCCCAATCCCAAAAAGGTAACTTTACTTAAACTGATGGATTAATGAGATATATGAAGTTGTCTTGTGAGCTAATTTGAATACGAAATTCAACATTTTTCCTATAGGTTTTGCTCATTGGAGGTGGTGATGGAGGAATTCTTCGAGAAGTATCTCGACATTCTTCTGTGGAGCATATTGATATTTGCGATCTTGACAAAATGGTGATAGATGTATGTTCTACATCTAAATATGATATATTTTAGCATAAAAAACTTGTTTCCATCCTAACGAAATGGTGTTGCTTTAGGTTTACAAGAAGTTTTTCCCAGACATTGCTGTTGGATACGAGGATCCTCGGGTGAATGTAACCATAGGCGACGGTACGCAACAGAAAACTACTTGTCGTTCGTTTTTTGTCTTTCTCATGTCGTCTAATGACTGTAAAACTTGTTTGTTTAGGTGCGGCGTTCATCAAGTCTATTCCTCCTGGCACCTATGATGCTATAATACTTGATGCATTTCAAGGCATGGGTACGTCTTTTTTCACCCCTTCTTCCCAAAGACTTCAAATAGTCATCAAACAGAGTCTAAATTCACCAGATTTGAATGCCAGGTGCTTATGCAACTGAGCTTTCAGATAAAGACTTCCTTGAATCGATAGCGAAGGCTCTGAAGCCCGGCGGGGTGATGTCGACCCCTGCAGATAGTGTGTGGCTCAAGAATTTTGCCATGGAAGATACCATAGCTCTCTGTCGTAAAATCTTCAAGGGATCTGTAAACTACGCTTGGACCTCTGTTCCTTCTTATCCAAGGTAAACCAACCCAAACCCATTGCTTTCGTTTCCAAAATTCTTTCTTTCTGCAAAATCTGGATTTTTCTGATCGTTTCTTTTCCCTCCTGAATGACTCAAATTCAGCGGGGCGATCGGCTTCATGCTCTGCGCAACCGATGGTCCTTCAGTGGACTTCAAACATCCTGTGAACCCATTAGATCCGATAAATTTTGGTGTTGCAAAACGACCCCCCATGTTCTACAACTCAGAGGTGGTTTCTTTTGCCCACATTTGTTCCTGTTCACATCCCCTATTCTAACTCGGCTGTTTTAACTCTGCTGCTGTAGATTCATACCGCTGCCTTTTGCCTGCCTGCTTTCGCGAAGTTGGCGATGGGTTCCAAGTATGCATGAGAAACTCGGGATTATGTGCATAATAACAAGCTAAGCATGATGTCATGTTTGCTCAGAAGTAGTTGCCATGGCCGTGGATCTAAGACATCAAAAGGGCTGAGTTTACCTACACAGCCTATACTATACTACAGTCTTGCAAATTCACAATTCAGTGATTTACCAAATGTAATCTCAAAGTGAAAACGAAGAAATAGTTGTCAATTGATATATTTGTGATAATATAAGAAAAATTCGTCTATTACAATGGGAGTTGTCGGATTTCAAGATCTTTTGGATGCATGGACTTTATACAAAGATAATGAGGTAGAAAAAAATAGAAAGCAAGAAACACTAGAACTCCGAGATCAGCCTCTTCACCGACAGCTGGTCGACGAGGGCTAGCCCAGTATATCTGGCTTGCACACCACATGCTATACAGGGTAGCTACTACTACAATAAGCTTTACTGACTGATACGATTGTTTCCAAATGGACTTCGCGGACTTCACTCTGTCTCATAATATATAGAGAAAGCATGAGAGAATGCAAAAGATTCAATAGAACCAAAATGGCGCACAGGGTAAATGAATAGAACGAATATATTTAGTATTCACACACCTGTTAATGTAAACAAACCCCCCGATTAAGCAAATGCACAAGAATCCGACTATGACTACGGCATCTGGGTTGATTGGTGCTCGGTTCGCCCACCAACCAGTGCTCAATATCCAAGTGTACATTGATGAATGCCCGTTTTCCTGAAAATTTGGCGATACATGAATAATAGTATAACTCATATTCAGACGATATGACTCAAAGAAAGCTGCACATTGATGAACTTATGGATCAAAAAGAAGGATATATCAGTAGTACTTCTCATCTCATCGGATAACAGATAGTAATAACAAGGTATGGTTTCCCTTGCATCCTCCCAGATAATGAGACTGAGAGAACTTAAATTCAGTAGGCAATGGGGGGAAAATGGGGTAAAGAACTTAAATTCTAGATGTAAACTTTACCTCAAATAAATGATCAAGAAAGAAATGTGAAAAAGAACCAGCTGAGATTAACAACAAGCATTGCCTGGTATTAAGAGAAACCTACATCAAGAGAGCAAAAATTAGACAAGGATGAAGGTCAAATATTTCGAGACAATCTAYAAAAGGATTGACAATATTTTTCATTTCTCGTCACAGGATGCAGCCAATTTATAAATATGCCAATTGAGTAAAAAAATTAAAAAAAAAAAATAGATCACATAGCACGGTTTCAAACCATAAGATAAAAACAAATACCACATCGTCCTAAAAATTTTGATCTTCATGCTTGCAATCAGTCCACGTGAGCATAAATTACTAAATGGAAACAATCCACAAGAAACAAAGCCATAAGAACTATGAAGTAGTGAAATTAGACCCAGTTAGATAATTCGCATAACCAACAACCAAACAATGATCCAAGAATCGAACACAAAATTCCAAAATCTTCCCACATCATCTACAAGATAATGTTTCAAGAAAGCTAATCAACGAAAGTACGAACTGAACTGACTCACCCCAAAGACAGAATCGAGAGCCCCCTTCTGAAGCAGAACAGAGGAGAGGAAGGAGTAGAAAAGGCAGAGAGGAAGACCCAGAATGAGGATGTAAAACAAGGGATGGTGGATGGCGTCGGGAATTGAAGATCCCGAGAACCCGAGAATGGAGGCTAGCCATTCGGAGAAGGAACCGATGTCGGGGCCGAAGAAGGCGTTGATGGTGTAAACGAGAGCATGGTGCGGGCTGAATCTGCCGTCGCTAAGAGTCATCAGAGCCATGCCTGAGCCCATGGCGTAGAGCATGTGCGGCCCAGGACCAGGCATTGTTCCGTCTCAACGATCACCGCCAATAGAGCCAAGAGGAAGCCATTAATTCAACTGGGTCTTGTAAATTGAAAATTTTATCATCGTCCTCAATTGAACTGAAAGCATCTCAAAAGAACCTATCTCAGAATGATTTTTTCCTTTCCCATGATGCCAGAGTTTTGACTTCCATCTAGGTGTTCTGGGCTTTGCATATATTGGGCTGGTCTTTTCTCAATTTCTGAAGAACCCAAATTCTGCATCCCAAGGGCCCACGGCCCAATTTCCCCAACTACTCCAAAATTCGTCGTCGAGTACAATTTCTGACAATTTTCCTATTTTTTCCCTCTATTACTTATTATACAATAAGAAGCCGTCGCCGTCCACTTGAGATATAGATATCTTTTTCTTTTTTGTAGTTGGACACCTTTTTCTATTAAATAACATTTAAAAGTCAATATTGCAAATAACAAGCCTACAAAGAAATAAAAGATGTAATATAGAAATGGAAAATAAATAAATGTTTAATTTATAGAAGATAAACAAAATAGTGAATATTAGTTAGTGGGTAGGAGCGCCAGCGAGGCAGATTCCGTTTATCCTTAACACAAGTAAGTGGGACCCACCATCCCCTAATCATCGCTCATTTTTCAAACCACATCCTTCTGATGCCAGCAAATCCCGGGCCCCACTCTTTTGTACTGTCTCATTCTGTCCGCGAAGCACCAGAGTACCCTCTCCTCTCCCGCAACGACATCGTTTCGCTATGGACAACGGCTCGAAATCCCGTTTTCTCCTTTCTTTTTTTTTCTGATGCGCAATAAT